ACTTGAAAAGCCCTGTAGAACTAAAGCAGGATCCCAACAGCTGAATGTGGCTAAAGTAAAATACAGCTGTGTTAATTAATCTCACCTTGGGTGGATCCTGTTTTGGTGGGCCCTAAAGGACAAGAAGGTGGGATATAAAAAATTAGTAGGGCCCTAAGAGTTAAGAGAACATGTGATCTCTTCATGAAGAATACAAGGTTGTGAATATAGAATTCCCACAACCAATTCAATGCCACTTGAGAAGGATAAATAATGTCAGAAAAAATAGTCTTAATAAATTTTGATTAAGATATCTTATTTTTACAAACTTTATGAAAAATGTATGACCATTTGAAAACACTGTTAGAGACACTCAAAGAACTTTATAAGGGGTTGGGGTCATTTAGAGGCCCTCATATTTAAGCTTCATTAGTACTGCAGTACATTTGCTGCTGAGTAAAACTTGAATTCTATAATTCTCAAGTGACATTCAGCACTACCCAAAAATTTTTAGCCAATTCAGTTTTTCTGAGAAATATTTCACATCTTATCACTCTTCATTCCTAACACCCACATTGCCCTCATTTTAATGCTAAAAATCTTCTGAAATAACTAATAGTGGACATAGAAGCAATCAAATGAGAATTGCCTCTTACTCTTGGTAGCCTATTTGCATCTGTGTTTACATAATCTGTGTTCCTCTCTATTAATATATAATAACAGAAGCAGCTCTTACATAGGAGTTCCCATCACCCAAACACTTGCCAAGTGGATGCCATTTACTCTTTTTTTTTTAAGATTTTATTTATTTATTTATTTGAGAGAGAGAGAGAGAGAAAGAGCATGAGCAGAGGTGGGGGGTGTGCAGAGGGAGAGGGTGAAGTGATCCCAAGACCTTGGCATCATGCCTGAGCCAAAGGCAAACACTTAACCAACTGAGCCACCCAGGCGCCCCTGGATGCCATTTGCTCTTACACATTTAGTCGTTGTCATTATTTTTCTCTACTTTAATAGCATATGAACATTGAATAATATTGCTCATCTCAGAAAAAAATAAAACAAGATAAAATAGAGCCCTGCCTCCCAGCCCTTCTGTTCTTTATAGCAAATCCTAAGTGCACATTCCTGTTTCCATGAACTCACATTCCGTTTTCTATTCAATCCATTCAAACAAGATTTGTCTCAAAGTATCATATTCTAGATCCAAAGTCATTCTTATTCATTTAAAAGTCTTCCATGTTTTATTTAGTTTTTAAATTAAAGTTTACATCATTTGGTTTTTACCTGCCAAATTACATAAATTCCTTATATATTTTGGATATTAATGTCTTATCACATTAGTGGTTATCACATAAATGGTTTGAAATAGATTTTCTCTCAATAGTTATGTTGACTTTTCAAATTATTGAGGGCTGTTTTTTGGTTTTGTTTCTTTTGTTTGCTGAACAGAAGCTTTTTTTTTTTTTAAGATTTTATTTATTTATTTGACAGAGAGAGATCACAAGTAGGCAGAGAGGCAGGCAGAGAGAGAGAAGGAAGCAGGCTCTCTGCCGAGCAAAGAGCCCGATGTGGGGCTCGATCCCAGGATCCAGAGATCATGACCTGAGCTGAAGGCAGAGGCCCAACCCACTGAGCCACCCAGGGGCCCCTGAACAGAAGCTTTTTTTTTTTTTTTTTTTAGATTTTATTTATTTGACAGAGAGAGAGAGATCACAAGTAGGTGGAGAGGCAGGCAGAGAGAGAGAGAGAGAGGAGGAAGCAGGCTCCCCACTGAGCAGAGAGCCCGATACGGGGCTCGATCCCAGGACCCTGGGATCACGACCTGAGCTGAAGGCAGAGGCTTTAACCCACTGAGCCACCCAGGTGCCCCTGAACAGAAGCTTTTTAATTTGACATAGTCCCACTTGATGTTTTACTTTGTTTACTGTGCTTTTGGTGTCATATGTAAGAAGAAAATTTAAAAAAAAAATTGCCAAGACCATTGTCAAGGAGAGTCTTCCCTATGTTTCCTCTGGGAGTTTTATAGTGTTAGTTCTTGCATTTAAGTCCTTAATCTATTTCAATTTAATTTTTATAAGTGGCATAAGATAGAAGTCCAGCCAATTTCATTCTTTTGAGTGTGGCTGTCCAGTTTTCCTGAAGAAATGATTCTTCCCCCATTGTGTGTTGCTGGCATCTTTGTCAAAAGTTTTTTTCTGGGCTCTTCATTCTGTTTTATTGGTATAGGTTCTGTTTTTTATGCCAGTATCATACTGCTTTGATTACTATAGCTTTATAATATTGTTTGAAATAAGGAAGTGTGATACCTCTTGCTTTGTTCTTCTTTTTCCAGATTACTTTGGCTATTCGGAGCCTTTTGTAGCTTTGTGCAAATGTTAGGATTTTTTTTCTGTATCTGTGAAAAATGCCCCTGGAATTTTAATAGAGAGTCATTGAAACTCTAGATTGCTTTGGGTAGTGTAGACATTTTAACATTATTAAATATTCCAGTCCATAAGCACAGGTTATCTTTCCATGTCTTTGTCTTCCTCAGTTTCTTTCATCAGTGTCTTATGGACAGTGTCAGTATATAGATCTTTCATATCCTTAGTTAAATTTTATCCAACATAGTTTATTATTTTCGACACTATTGTAAATGTGATTGTTTCATTTTTTTCAGATAATTCATTGTTAGTATATAAAAATGCAACCGCTTTTTGTGTATTGACTTTGTATTCTGCAGCTTTACTGAATTTACGTATTAGTCCTAACAGTTTTTTGGTGGAGTTTTTTAGGGTTCTTTCTATATAAGATTATGTCATCTGCAAACAGAAATTTTAACTATTCTTTTCTAATTTGGATTACATTTTACTTCTTTTTCTTGCTTAAATGCTCTACGACTTTCAGTACCGTGTTGAAAAGATAATGTAAGTGTGGGCACCTTTGGCTTGTTCCTGATCTTTGAGGAAAAACCTTCAGCTTTTTATACTGAGCATGATATTAACTGTGGGCTTGTCCTATGTGACCTTTATTATGTTGAAATACATTCCCTTTATATACAGTATTTTGAGAGCATTTATCATAAATGGCTGTTGAATTTTGTCAAATGCTTTTCTGCTTCTATTGACATAATCATGTTTTTATCCTTAATTCCAGTAAAGTGGGGTATCACATTAACTGATTTGTATATTTTAACCATCCTAGCATCCCAGAGATAAAACCCACTTGGTTATTATGTATGATCCTATTTATTTGTTGTTGAGTTCCGATTTCTAGGATTTTGCTGAAGATTTTTGGATCTATATTGATCAAGGATATTGGCCTGTAATTTTCTTTTCTTGTAATCTCTTTGTCTGACTTTGTCTATGTTTGCTGGCCTCATTAATTGAGTTCAGAAGCGTGTCCTCTTCTTAAATTTTTTAGAAGAGTTTGAGAACAATAGGCATTGATTCTACTTTAAATGTTTGGTAGAATTTACCAGTAAAGCCATAAGGTTGGGTCTTTTTTTTTAATTAGGAGTTTTTGATTACTGGTTCAGTTTTCTTATTCATTGGTGATCTGTTCTGATTGTCTATTTTTTCATGGTTCAGTCTTGGTAGATTGTTTTTAAGAATGCATTTCTTCTGAGGTATTCAATTGTTAGCACATAATTGTTCATAATAGTAGTTTCTCTGATCATTTGTATTTCTATGTTATTAGTAGTAATGTAGCCCTTTAATTTCTGATTTTATTTATTTGAGTTTTCTTTCTCTTTTTAATGTAGTTAAAGGTTCATCAGTTTTTATGTATTTTTTAAAAAACCCATTTTTTTGTTGGTGATCTTTTCTATAGCTTTTAGTTTATCACACTTGTCTTTGCTGTGGTTGTTGTCAACTTTTCTTCTAACTTTGGGCTTAGTTTGTTCTTACTTTTCTAGTTCTTTGAGATGTAAAGTTAGGTGGTTTGAGATCTGTCTTTTTCTTTAATGTAGGCACTTACTATTATCAATTTCCCTTTTAGAACTGCTTCTCATATGTTGTGTTTCAATTTTTTAAAAAAAATTTTCTTTACCCACTGGTTGAGTTCTTGGTTTCTGGGTCTTTCCTTCCCAATGCTGTAGTGCATTCTAAAAACCTATAGCCTTTATCAGTAAGTTGGTTCTTTAACAAAACTCCTTCTGTGATGCAGTGAACCTTGCCCAGGCAACACATACCTTCAGGTAGTTTCTTGCTGATTCTTCTCCACTTTTACTTTGCTTTCCAGTTTTATTTCTATTCTGTAGAGATGGTTACCTTATTGTGAATGTAGCTATGTCTTCTTTGTATTTTCTTCTTATCTTGTATGCCTCAATGGTATGTTTCTTGAAAAAAGGTGGTATCCAATCTAATGTCTTACTTTTTCCCTCTATTAACTCTTTCTCCTTTGCTATTGGTTTTCTTTTTGTTTGTTTGTTTGTTTTTTAAAGATTTTATTTATTCACTTGAGAGAGAAAGCATGAATGGCAGGGAGGAGCAGAGGGAGACGGAGAAGCAGACTTCCCGCTGAACAGGGAGCCCAATCAATGTAGGGCTTGATCCCAGGACCCTGAGTTCATGACCTTAGCCAAACACAGATGCTTAATCAAGCCACCCAGGTGCCCCTGGTTTTCTTTTTGAAAGTTTTGTTTTAATTACTAGTTTTCTTTTGTTAAGTTTTGTTTCTCCTTTTCATGGACTGCATTTTGCTCATATTTGATTATTCTTAATAGCAATGTTGTATGGGATTAAAGGGATGGATTGGTATAGAAGGAATGAATGCTCTGAAAGCTGAGCATTTGAGGTCCCCAAGCCTTTCTTATTGAGATCTTTCTGAGGTTGAGCAGAGCTTGACAAGAGTAGCCAACAGGAAAAGTAGGAAAATAAGTATAATTTTGGGTCATATTCTTTGTACTCAAGTATCTGATTATTTTATATTTTTGGCAATATAAAACATGCTATTGTTCCTTTTTTACTATTATTAAGCGTATTTGCCTCAATATATACTCTTGTGGAATAATCATATCGATCTTTTTTTTTTTTTTACAGTATAAAGAAAAAAGCAGAATTGGAGTCTGAAATCCAATCTTTGATGAAACTAAGGTCCAAAAATGAAGAATTTCTTAAACAACTATACAGGGAATCTTATCAGCTTGGTGCTGTTTTCCACCTAACCAAATTTAAAACAGAGGAATTAGAAGAGAAAATAGCAGAAGTGAGAAGAAAATTCAAGGTTTGTATCTCTGTGTTCTACTTAGTTGTAAAAAAAAGGTAATTAACTTCAGTTTTATTGATTTGTTGATAGTTTGATTTTAATTTAAGCTATAATAGCCTTTTAAAATAATTACTCCTTCTAATCTGAATAAAATAATTTCTCTTCAGATGCCCAGCATAAATGGAAGAGGAATGGGGCTCCGTGTAGCTAATCAACACTTAACATCTGCTTTTTGCTATTACTGACCCTAAACTACCTCGATCACCAGAAGAGTGGTTCTTGGCTTAAACTCACCCTGTATATCTAATGTGTAGTTGATGGGAAGTGCCCTTGCACCTTACTAATACAAGGAAAGGGATTACCAACATCAGGCCTGCAAGTTATTGGATTCCTGAGCACCAAGCAGTGCTTAGTACACCACAGTGTTTCCACAGAAACAACTGGTTGTAGGCCTCAAATCTATCCCTAAGTGAGAAATGTTACAAATAGCCACCCTTGCCATTTGGTATAGATGCTAACAAAGTCAGCTCCCATTTTGCCCCACATAAGGGAGCACCTTAACAGGCTACTTCTGTCCATCACACATCATACTCACACTGCTCCCATCCTTGGCATTTACTTATTGAATACTTGTTACCATACAATTATTTATAAAATACAGAATCTGTGTTCTATGTTCAAACCTTGCAATAGCACTTCATTCAGTGAAGACTTTCTCTTACGCTTTCTAAATTTAGGACACTTAGATTGTCTTCCAATAAATGTTTCTACACCTGAGAGACTAGGAATTTGTTCCCATACTGAATCCAGCTGTTTGATGGACTCAGTGTATTGCACCTCTGTTCCTTCCCATGGATTACTCAGTGGGTTTTTTATGCCACATATGTTCCAAAATTAGTATGATAGAAACTATTATAGTAAAAATTAACCTCAAGGTTATTTTAAAAATATAAAGTATATGGTTTAGCATATCTAATAATATTGTAAATGTTATTTATAATTTTCTTTAATTTTTCATTAGTCTGTGTTTCTCTATGGTGAATAATTAATTATTTTTCCATTGTGGATATCAGTGAAGACATCAGCCACTAATTTGGCCACTTAACAATGTTTCTTAATTTTTTCAATTGACAGGAAAGCTTTGTTCACATATTTATCTCATAGCTGTCACATGAGTTGATCATTTATAAACAAGAAAGCAGGTTTCTAGATGCCACCCAGAATGTTAACTGCCTCCCGACTTTGGCTTTAATTACGTTTTCGTGGAATGAAATTCTGTTTCTCAACTAGGATTGTAGTTTCTATCATTTCTCATATTTCACATGATTCCTAAAGCAGTTCTCACTTTTCTCCATTTATTTTCAGTGATAGAAATCCTCTCTCTCTTCATGACTCCATCCCAAAACAAACCAAAGATGGTCACATGCTAGACATAAATAAAAAATTTGTTGGTAATTGGAAAAAAAAAATTCTTCAGCTACATGTCTTCACTAGCCTGAGGCACTCTTCTATTAAGAAGGGTATTATATTGAATTGTTTATTCTTTTCTAAGTTTTCCTGATGCCATAAAATACAATTTATAGGTTGATTACAAATTTGATGTGAGTCTACTGTTCTTGCTTTACCAACCTAAGACAAAGTGTAAGTGTCTCCTGGTTTTATTAAAGAAAAACTGAAGAAATTGTTGATCAGGTTCTTTCTCTATCCTTTGGTAGCTAAGATAGAGAAAGAAGCAACAGAATGAAATTATGCATTTTAGGAAACAATTCCCCATTGCTAAACACTTCCACTAATGTCTGAGCTGAACATATAAGGCATTATTTTTCTCTGATGTATACATGTAGATCTGTGTCAGAGTCATAATGAATTAAAAATAAATTTCTAGATAGTCCTTAGATTATTCAGGTTTGGAGTAATTCAGGTTTGTTGTTTTGGCTTTGTAATGACCCCACTGTCTTCCACTGACTAAGTAATAAAAATCTATATAATTTTCTGAGTCTTGGTATCGTGTTTTTCTTGCAGGCAACTTTGTATATTTGTTAGTTCTGCCCTTAATTCATGTCTTCTAGAAATTATAGCATTACCACATCTGAGCTAGCCTTGAGAAATAAGCTTTTGAAACCTTAGCAGTAGAACTTTTGAGTTTCATTTCCTCTAATTAATGTACCAATACAATGCTCAGTAAGATTTAGGCAGTCTTAGACTAGCGGCAACCCTGAACAATCAAGATATTTAACAGTTTCTGGAACTTTCCAGCTATTACAGATGACTTGTCCCAGTTTTTTCAGACCTTCAATCCCAATAACTGACCTATTCAGGAAAGACACAGTTAGTCAAGTCCCAGGATAAAACTATCCACAGGGATCGGAGATAAATTGGTAAAAGTGTAATACCTATTCAGTTATGGTATTGATGGAATGAACAGAAAATCATTCAGTGTTGTCTGAAGAATGTAATATTGTAACAAGAAAAATCTTCAAAGCTTTTATCAGATACTAAGTACTTCTCGACATTTAAATAGAAGGCTTTTGTGGAAGCTGCAGGAATTTGGAGAGTTTTTTGTTTGAATATACTAGAGTTTTGGTGGAAAAGAAGAACATCAGGCCACTGGTTCTAGGTTAAAATCATAGTACTAGAATGAAGTGGAAACTTAGTAGAAAAGAAGAAAGAAGTAGAAAGGAAGACAGTTTTCTGCAAGGTTGCTATAGGCTACTCTTTATACATGTTAATTCAGTGTTCATTATACTGTAAAGGTGTTATTAGTATGTTCATTTTGGGGTGAAATGATTTGCCCAAAGTAGCATAGTGTTTAAGCAGCTGTGTAGAATTCAGGGACAAGTTTTTCTGATGCTGAAGTTGATATAAACTAGTCAGTCAGACACTAAGGAGGTATGTATGCCAACCAAAAAAGATTCATTCAGGCTCAAAATTTCAAAATAACCATATTAGGATCACCTTTTAGTCTTTATTTTTTAGGGAATTCTTATGGTCCCCACAAAACTGAAAGAAAATAGAGAGATTCCCCATATACACCTGACCCCTACACATGCATAGCCTCTGCCATTGTCAACATCCTCCATCAGAGTGGGACATTTTTTACCAGGGGTGAACCTACATTGGATAACCATAATTACCTAAAATTTATAGTTTATATCATAGTTCACTCTTGGTGCTGTTGTGTACATGCCTAGATTTTCAACAAATATATAATAATACGTATCCATCATAGTAGTATCATATGGAGTATTTTCACTGCCCTAAAAATCCTTGGTGTTCTACCTGTTCATCCCTTCTCTCACTGATGGCAACTATGGCAACCACTAGTATGTTACTGTCTCATAGTTTTGCCTTTTCTAAAATATCATATAATTGGAATCATGCAGTATGTAGCCTTGTCAGAATAGATTCTTTTACTAATACGCATTCGAACTTCCTTCATGTCTTTTCATGGCTTGATAGCTCATTTCTTTTTAGCACTGAATAGTATGCTATATCTGGATTGCCATAGTTTATTTATACATTCACCTACTGAAGAACATCTTGGTTTCTTCCAAGTTTTGGCAGTTATAAATAAAGCCACTATAAGTATCCATGTACAGGTTTTTATGCGGACATACATTTTCATCTCCTTTGGGTTTGAATGAAGGAACATGATTGCTGGATCTTATAATTAGTATATATTTAGTTTTGTAAGAAACTGCCAAAATATCTTACAAAGTTACGGTACCATTTTGCATTCCTACCAGCAATGCATGAGAGTTCCTTCATTTCAAATCCTTGCCAATAGTTGATGTTGTCAGTGATTAGGATTTTGGCCATTGTAATAGCCATGTAGTGGTATTTCATAGTTGTTTTAATTTACATTCCCCTGATGACAGATGATGTATAGCATCTTTTCATATGCTTATTTGCCATTCTGTATCTTATTTGGTGAGTTGTAATTTAAGTTCTTTGCCACCACCCCACCTTTTTAAAGTACTCTCTACACCCAACATGGGACTTGAACTCACGGCCCTAAAATCAAGAGTCCCATGTTCTACTGACTGAGCCATCTGGGTGCCTCAACATCTTTGACCCCTTTTTTAACATATTGTTTTCTTGCTGTTAAGTTTTCAGAGTACCTTGTACATTTTGAATAACAGATCTTTATCAGATTTGTCTTTTGCAAGTACTTACTCCCAGTTTGTGGTTTGTCTTTCATTCTCTTGACTGTGGCTTTCATTGAGCTAAAGATTTTAATTTTAGTGAACCCAGCTTATCGATTATTACTATTGTTTTTTCACAGATCATACCTTTGGTGGTGTATCTAAAAAGTTATTGCTATGTCCAAGATCATCTAGGTATTCTTTTGTTATCTTCTAGGAGTTTTACATTTTTGTAATGTACATTTAGGTTTATGGATCAATTTTGAGTTAACATTTGTATAAAGGTATAAAGTCTAGCTTCATTTCTTTTTGCATATGGATGTTCAGTTGTTCTGACATCATTTGTTGGAAATATTGTCTTTGCTTCATTGTGTTGCCTTTGCTTTCTTGTCAAAAATCAATTGATCAGGGGCGCCTGGGTGGCTCAGGGGGTTAAAGCCTCTGCCTTCGGCTCAGGTCATGATCCCAGGGTCCTGGGATCGAGCCCCGCATCGGGCTCTCTGCTCAGCGGGGAGCCTGCTTCCTCCTCTCTCTCTGCCTCTCTACCTACTTGTGATCTCTATCTGTCAAAATGAATAAAAAAAAAAAATCTTAAAAAAAAAAATCAATTGATCATATTTCTGTGGGTCTATTTGTGGGTTCTTTTTTGTTCCAGTGATCTATTTGTCTGTTCTTTTGTCAGTGCTGCCCTGTCCTGAATCATGTAGCGTTATAGTATGTTTTCATGTTGACTGTGTTTATGCCTCTTCCTTTTTTCTTTGTCAATATTGTGTTGTCTATTCTGGGCATTTTGCCTCTCCTTATAAATTTTAGAATCACTTTGTCAATATCCACAAAATACCTTGCTAGGATATTGGTAGTGATTGAATTGAA